GCAACCAACTAAATTTAGTTTTATCTCACCCTCATCATTTTGCAAGGGATTCTGGACTAACAAAAAATAAATTTGAATATTTATATTGGTAGAGCCACTATATACTATGTTTATTTACATCTTAAAATTACCTTACTTGTCTAATGATGGACGCCTACCTCACTTGACTTTTGGATTCTCTAAACTTGAACCTTAAAACATATAATCTAAAATAATAGATGGTGTCAGCACTATCTATAGGTTCAAAACCAACAATACAGTGCATGGTTGGTTACTTGAGTCAGTAGATTTGGTTCTTTCAGACATTTAGTTTTTAATCGATCTTTACCTGTTGAAGCTTTTATATCCTGGTAGGTTTGCTTGGGGCTCCAGCTCAGGCATGCGGTGGATGAGCGTGTCAGCCAGAGCTGGGACACTGATGATGGCCTGCTCCCAGGGTGAGTGGTATGACTTTGGCACAGCTGTACTGTTGAACCGTTCAGGAGGGATGTCTTTCAGAGGACCTCCATATCCTGAGCAAATTGTACAACACAGACATCAAATTAGGTCCTTTTCATTTTGGTCAGATTAAAAAATGTTTAGCATTTCTTGCAAATACATATAACATTTCTTGTCCAAGTTATTTTTTTTAAACTGGGTAAATACTGATAATGTGCTTTCCTTTTTTTCTATTTTTTTCCTACGTATTTTTGCATATATTGTACTATTCTTGTTTAGATTCAAAATATAAAAGGTTCAGCTCATTCAAGACTGCTGTCTTGTTGTAGAAGACTTTTTGTATTTTGGAAACTTTTTAACTTTATTTACAAATATTTTCCATTGGAAAAGCTTCAATTCTTTCAAAACATTGCTTGATTTTTGTCTTCTTGTGCTACTTTTGCTACTTTAAAGCTTTAGTTATTCTTCTGTCACTTTTAGCTAGCCATTTAATAATATTAGCATATAGCTACCATTCTGCTTTTTGCTTTTAGCTAGCGTTTTACTACTTTTAATTAGCTTTTTCTTCTTTCAGCTAGCCTTATATACTTTTGGCTTTTAGCTAACCTTTATTACGTATAACCAGCCTTTTGCTATTTTCAGCTTTTAGCTAACCTTTTGCCATGTTTACCTGGCATAAGTTTCATGTTGA